GCCTAAAGTGTAGTTCCTGAAATCAAAAGAGGAGCGCTAGGAAGGTTGTATATAGGGTAGATCCACTGAGATGGGTGTGTCTCTGGCCTAGGGGTAGCTTGCTTCACTCTGATACTGCTTTTGATAGCCAGATATACACAATGGCCCATTTGCTGGAAATATGTTTTTCTTTGAGAATGTTATTCAGCTCCTGCTATAATCAGGCTATAATAGTATTAGAAATGTCTAATAATTTTTATTTTATTTTTTAATTTATTTTAGAAATCAGTGAAGGAAGACATATTAAGAAACACATCCATTTACAAAATAGCATAAGAACAATACAAACAATACAGTGTTCCAGACAAAGTGGTAGGAAATTAACAGTGGTCGTTGTATTATGTATTGATATCTTCAAAGTGATTTCTCAGGTGAACCAATAGAGACATGCAAGATTGATCAAGTAAGTAATCATTAAATGTTCCTTTCAGTAAACGATAGAAGTCAGTAGTATAAATATGTTAGCTATCCTGTATATACATATACACATAATTTTCCCTTCTTTCTCTTCTCTTTTCCCTCACCCCAGTTGCTCTTTAGTTTTGAACATTTTTCTTTCATTTCACAATGTGTATCATACCTTATAATTTTTTTTATTATTTCAGGTTCTTACACTAGTGAGACAATACATTGCTTACATATGGAGGTCTGGTTTATTTCACTTCTGATTATGGTCTCTTGTTGTGACCATATACCTGTAAAAGCCTCGAGTTCATCTTGCTTTATAGCTGAGTCATATTCCATTGTATAAAAATACCATAAATTTTTTATCCATTCCTCAGTCGATGAACATTTGGGTTGTTTCCACAATTTAGCAGTTACAAATTGCTATACTGTGAACATTGGTGCACATATATCGCTGTGATATGATGTTTTGAGCTCTTCTGAGAAAATACACAGAAGGGGAATAGCTGCGTTGAATGGGACCTGTAGACCTAGTTTGCTGAGGAATCTCCAAACTGATTTCCTCAGTAGTTTCACCAGTCTGCATTCCCATCAGCAGTGGAGAAGAGTTTCTACTTCTCCAGAGCCTCACCAGCATTTGTTATTGGTTGATTTCTTAATGCTAGACATTCTTACTGGGGAATCTCAGTGTTGTTTTAATTTGCATTTCTCAAGTGACTAATGATGTTGAAGATTTTGTATAACATTTATTTGCCATTTGTATTTCTTTATCTGAGACGTGTGTATTCATCTCAGCTGCCCATTTTTGGATTGGGTCTTTGAATTGGGGGGAGCTGATGCTTTTTAATTCTTTGTATGTTTTAGATAGAAGATCTTTCTTTGTCTGAGGGATAGTCACTTACAGTTTTTTCTCAATTTGTGGGTTTTCTTTTTACTCTGCTGGTGATCCTTTTAGATGTGCGCAAACTTTTCGTTGTATGAGATCCTGGTTATTGATTCTTTGAATTATTTCCTATGTGGTTTGTTTTTTGTTCTGAATTCTCTGCCTACCCGTATGTCCTCAAGATTTTTACCTACTTTCTCTTCCAATTGTCTAATAATAATTAAATGACATTTTCTATTCATTTATTTTTTTTCATTTATTAATTGTATTGGTATATTTTGGATGCACATAATTATCACACTCATCATCGGCGCTTGTACCTGTACATAACTTGATTATTTTTTCCATTCCCCTACCCTCACTTCAACCCTGCTTTCCCTCTATATTTTCAGAAACTTTGACTTCTACTCTTTCTTACTTTCTCATTCTTTTTCTTTTCCCTTCCTTCCTTTTACCTTCCTTCTCCCTAGGTCCCCTTCCCATTTGAATATTGTCTTTCTGTTTCACACTTTCTGTTACACATTCTACTTCTCATTTACACTTTTGGATTCTTACACCAGAGAAACAATGCATAATTTACACGTTTCAATTGAACTTTTGAAGTTTAACTGATGAGAAACTTTGTGTCTCCTTCATTGTCTTCAGGTAGACTGTATGGACACAAAATAAGACTTGATTTCCCATTGAAGTAAATGTTGCAAAATGCTTAAAATGTAATTTCTG